TATATCTAAGTAAATCTACTAAAACTTCTAATACAATTGCAATTCGAACCGCTATTTATGATGAATAAGAACACAATTATTTTTATCATTGTCTGAATATCATCTATTTAATAATCACTGGCTAATTCCCCGTTTTGATATTCACATAAATACTTTAACATTATTATTCATTCTGTTAATCCAATGACATAAAACATCTTGAAGCAACAACTTTACTCCATTTAATCATATGGTAAATTTTTTTCTCGATTCAACTAGGTAATTAGTAAAGAAAATAAACGGTAATCAAATTATTTGATGTTATCAACAGAAATTTGTTTCTTGCGATTATCCTATAGATATTTTATTAATGAACCAATGTATTTAAACAATCCGCGATGTCAGGAGATTTTTAGATACTAATCAGTTGTTTCTTTTTAAAGAGCACGAACAAAGATTCTAGCACAATGGCATGAATTCATTTTATTTCGTTAATTCTCATCAGCTGCTTACAACCTGTAATGTTTAAAATCATAATTACATAATGGATTTAAATTACTTACATGAAAGAGTTTGGTTGGAAGTTATGTTGAGATCACATCAGTATAATATAGCAAGGGTGTAAATAATGTGTCTTTAATATAACTTCCAATCAAACCCTTTCGTAAAAGTAACTTAAACCTATTATATAATTATGATTTTAAATATTACAGATTGTAAGCGGCTAACAAAAATCAACGAAATAAAATGAATTCATACCATTGTGTTAGAATCTTTGTTTTTGCTCTTTTTAAAATGATAAAGAGAACTATCTGTAAAAAATCAGTATTTTGTTAAGTTTCCAAATATCTAGAATAAATATTCTATTTAATATATTGAGATTAAGATTTATTTCTTAGATTCTTACCGATAAAACTAAAAATAATTTAACATATTTAATTATAAACAGGAAGTATATTAACTTTTCAACATAATTCATAATTTGGACTAAGAGTCTTTGTTTGTTTGTTTTTCTTTTGTAATTTCACTTAACTGCGGTTGTTATAATGAATCAACATGTAAGAAAACCATACAATTAAATACAAGTGTCATTTCAAGTATATGAATAAATAGTCTAGACATTGTACTTTCAATGATACTCATTAATCATAACAAAGCGGTGTAATTTTTGGCTAACAAAACTTTACTACAAATATATGTATACGTGTAAAAGTGTTTCTAAGTATACCACACAATTATTTTCTTTAACTTTCAAATGAACCTACTTATCTCAAATAATTTACGATTAAATAAGATTTTTGTCAGTAAGTATTATCATCTACGATTTGCAGTTTAGTTTATAAGACAAATGAATATAAACTGTGATAAAATTAAAATACTATGTTATAAGGATGTGTTTCTTGGAGTTTTAGTGAGTAGACGTGACCAGTGGTGTCAAACCGTTTCTGTTTTGAAACAGTTACTTATTGAAGACAACGGTGGACGGTTGCAAAATATCGTGGATTGGTTGAAGTTAAACATTAACACCGTTGGATGACGGCCGGCTCAGTGTTCTATAAATTCAGTGTTCACGCGCGAGATCTAAGTTTCAGGGTTCGAATTCCTCATGCAGGATCGTAGGTGCGCACTGCTGGAGAGTCCTACACTAGAACGAAAGGGCCGTTCAGTGCTTTCACGTTTTCCAGAGTGGCCTAGCTTAAATTGAATCATGAATTCAACCATTAAACTACTATAATTTTCATAAACTCTCATCCTGACCATAATTTTTATTCATCTCTTACATTTTATTAGAGTTTTCAAAGGTTTATTAAAATTACAAACAAAAAAAACAATTCAGACACTTTTTAAGTTTTGAAAACAAACCTCCGTTTTTTAATGTTGTATGGTTTGAGCAAAGATGGATAGTGACTAGCAGGGGGATTCAGGACGTGAGTTTCGTTCTATTTGCGTCCAGGAGTGAACATCGACCTGGGATAGAGGTAGGACGAAACGCGAGTCCTGGATTTCATGCTAGCCAATATCCTTTGGTTAAAAAGCTTGTGACTTAAGGCTATATCAGGGCAATCCGCACAGGATGCTCATATACCAACATGGGACTGATCAGTTGAAGTCCTAAATAACAATGGGAAGGTGCAAGTAAAACAACAAGTAATTCACATATTTTCCTCACCTTTGTGCTTTAATCATTCAAAATTATTTCATTCAAATATTTTTATAATCATCCATTAAGTCAAATTATGAGCGAAGTATTTAGCATTCACATTATTTTACTGTTTCTTAATTATTTCATATAAACTTATTAGGTAGAACATTAACTTTTTACACTGACACTACGTTGTTGAAATACTTTACTATCAGATGATTGAAAGGTTACTTCAAATATAAACAATGTAATTATTATTTCAATACTTACAAACTTATTTAACCAATAGTTTTCAATTAATACCCCCTATCATAACTGACGAATTTTTCGCTACTTTTGATCACTAATTTAAACTCATAACTTAATCGAAATTAAGATCTCTGATAAACCTAAGTTACATAATTTGATGATTGTTTTGAGATGAAATACTCTACTAAACAAAGAGTTTTATTTTCCAACATATTTTGTTTTTATATATAAATTGTAATGTCAATCATATTGTCTTCTATTAAAGTAGTAGAGAAACCCAAGAATATATGTTAATTCATATAATCTATGCACACTTCCAATAGTTTGCTACTATTGTAAAAAAAATATTTGCAATCAGTTGGATTAACGAATATTTGAATTCTTTTATCTGTTTGATCAGTACAAGGCTTGCTAACACATACTTTGTACGATTGCAGTGAACGAGAACTCAGGTGTAGAATAACCAGTTTACTATTTAATACAAAACTGCAGAATATCGTGGTAAGATATGTGAACCATATATTGAATTCTTCATTTATAAATCTTTTATCAATTATCTTTTACATTCTGTATAATTCTTACACATCACAATTCTTGTTTGTTTTCTTCAATTAGACCTTGTAATCCTTCTGCTGCCAGACATCCCACTTCTGACTGATGTTACATACTGCTTATGTCGAAAGACATAAATAACATCCACCACACGATTACCATGAAATAAATTTTAACCGTGAATCAATCAGATTAATTTTCAATAAGATCGTATACACCTAAATTATAAAATTGTTAGTTTGAATACAAAACTTCGGTTTGCTTCATTACATAAGATACTCTAAAACATCTCAGTCATTACGATATAATGTAATAAAACAACCTATAAACTACATCAATAAAGTGTAATACATAGTGATATTTCCCCAATTTATTAGAATTTCAAATGTTTTTAAATGATACATATAATAAATTTTATCATTTTTGGTAAAATAATTCCTTATACACTTATTTATCACAACATTTTGAAGTCGTTTAATTGAAGTAAATGAGTAAACTAAAATGATCCAAATAAATCTTTCAGTCCACTTGGTATTGTTTGGCTTGTATCTTCCCATTGAGGTTTAAGACTGCGATTGATCAGTCTGTTATTGGCATATGCTCCAGAGTGAACATCAACTCTGAGATGCAGGTACATCCAACTGAAAAGTCCCAAACAGAACGAAACGCGCGTCCTGAATTCCACTGCTAGCCACTATCCATCATCGCTGACAAAATCTTTCAATTATTTGAAATATTCCCATATTGTAAATTTAGAATAAAATATCTAACCGAACAATAATGTTTTAGATTAGATCCTCATCGGGCTTTACCCTAATATACAGTGATATTTATGTACATATACGTAATTATTAAACCAATCAACGTAGTTTATGAGATCTTACACATAGCAGAAGTTATAGGAATTCGAGCTAACAACCCAAGTCTTTATGTTTAGAAGAAATTTGTAACACCCTTATCTCTCCCTTGGCATTAATAAACGAATTTATTTTTTTTCAAACTTTCTCTTCATTTATTATTTTTCTTCACCCCGTCCTTCCATTTTATTTTTTCTCAATGATATGTTTCACGGTTTAATTATCTAAATACTTCTTATTACGTCATCTTATAATTTTATAAATGTTATCTAACCGTCTATGTTTTTCTAATCGTTGACCTATTTCCGATTAATTTAACATTGATTTAAGCCTTAATTATTCTTAGCAAATCTAGTACACCTGTTATCACACTATCAGTTTGTACTTTTCACTTGTTATGCAATCGTTTTCATTGTTATCATTGACTCACAAACTGCCTTGATTGGTTTAGTAATTTCGTATATGCATATTAATACATTACTGTATATTAGTGTAAAGCCTGATGAGGATCTAATCGAAAACAATATCTTTCAGTTATGTAACTATGATCACACGAAATCAAGCCAAAACAATGAAATACATATATCAGTGTAATACAATGAGGAAAAATATATAACATTGCAGTTACATAATATGTAAAAGTAAATTTTAAAAAAAAACACGTAATAATTCATGTTTTAGATAATTGAGAAATGCAAACGTGTTATTTTGACTTACATAAAGACATTTAGCATAATAAAACAGGATATAACACCTGATACCTTAATAACGTATAGTAATAATAATAATAATTATTATTATAATCATTCGAAACGATAATCATATCATTGAATAAAACTGTTAGCATTACATTCATAGCATGAACAATAATGATATACATAAAAAGAAAACCAAATTTACTAAAGCTTACATTTAGTTCAAGTTTGTTTTTGTTTTTTTTTTTGAAGAAAAATAGATGAGGAAAATTGAGTTTCTAAGAATAAACAAACACGTTTTACAATGAACAAATAAATGATTATGATACAGTTATCATTTTTATTAATAAATAAATAAGCTATAAACAATTAATTCAGTATAGTACCCTGAGACAAAACACTCATATATATATATATATATATATATATATATATATATATATATAACCAAATTAGATGAATAAATATTCAATAAAGTTGTTATGTGTGCTACTTATATTGACATAAGTAGTACATGATGTTAGTCAGGAACAGAATATCTGGCAGTAGGGAGACAAATGGATGGAACAGTAACGAATGAAAACGGAATACGGTTTGTATAAAAATGCATGAACAATGAAATCTGAGTCATTTTAGAAACAATTAATGAACATCTTGCAAATTAAGCATTTACTATATGATTATTAGATTTTATTAACAAATTCTGTAATTTTCTGTCAGATATATTCGGTTGTTCCCAACTGGCGTTCTTGTTCACTACAAAGTCATTACTTGTATCTATAGTACAATGATCAATGATATGGAGAATAAAGATTGAAATTAAATACACGAGTATCATAGAATACAAAATGCAAATGCCTTTATATCATGCTTTAATTCAGTATTGATATTAACCAATTATGTACAAGTAAGATTGAAATCCAAAAAAAAGATAAGTAAATTAATGATTATTAACATTTATTGAATTAACAAAAAAAATTAAAAAAAAGAAATAAAGGAATTGCAAATATGAACATTGAATTGTAGTTTAATGTTATTATCATGTTTATGATGTTAAAAATGTGGATAGTTCTGAGTTTTTGTATTTTCCTAAATCGACATTATAATTATAACTAATAGTATCATTAGAATTAATAAGATTGTTAGTAATCTCTAAGGGTTTTTTATCATTATTAATATTAGATGAATAATTTATAAAAGAATTTTTTATTTTATTCGAATTTAGATTTAATCTATTGATTTGATCATCTTCAAATGTTAAATTAGAAGTTATTATTTGTTTAGGTGAATTCAATAATTCTATATCATTATTTTTATGAATTGATTCTATGATTGTTTGATTATTATAAGGATCTAATGTGTTATTTAATGGAGATAAAATCATTTCACGATTATCTATCATAGGTATACTAGAATTAGTTACGAATTTAAAATGTGAAGTTGAAATCTCATGTAGTTGTTTAGATTGATTAATGGGAAAGTTATCTTGATTATTAGTAATATTATGTATTTGTTTAAATGATCTATCTGCAATAGTTTCATTATTTCTAATTGATAATCTGTTGCTTTGAGAATGTGACAATTTCAAATACTTTTTTCTAATAATAAAAAATATTACACCTATAATTAAACCAATAATGATACCGATAAATCCGGAAAATAAAAATTTCCAGTTATTTTGAAATGGATATAATAATCCAGTAGAAAATGTTCCTTTACTAGTTAAATCAAGCGGAACTTTAAATAAATCTAATTTTCTCAGACGATCTGAATCTGAATAGAAACAAAGAAAAAAAAAAGAAAAACAGTTAAAACATTAATAAATTAGGGAAATTTGAAAACTTTTTTCAATTTGTTTACATTTTAGCCTTCATTAGACGGTTATGTAAATATGTTTAGATTAGTGTATAATTCATTTTATCTTCCTTTCAAGAGAATGGAATAATATTTGTAGAATCATGCTAAAATAATGTGATTATATTAACTTTATTGTTTTAACTAAATGTAGGCCAACGGATAAATAATAAAAATTTTTGTAACAAGTATAGAAATTTAAATTGATTGAGTTATGAATTACAAGACAGTGAATTTCAGCTCGATAGAGGTTAAACGCTAGCTTGGAGGCTTGAAGATTCTGAATTTGACCCACATTTGAGTCTTCGATACCTACTTCTGAAAAGTCCATTGTCAAGAAGAAACAGCTATCTAGTGTGTTTTTTTATTTTTGGTAGCTGTGTAAGTAAAGTCATTTCATAGTATCAGGCTATAAAAATAAATGTATGTACTTAAAAATCTTGTATTAAATGTCATATTTCTACCATTAATTAAATCCTATCACTTAATTCTAAAACAATAGAACACTGTAATATTGAGTCAGTTAGACAAGTGACCAGATTGGTACGTGATGGTTAGTATTGTATTATCATCAACATTAAATAACACTACTAATTATTCAGAACTGATTATTTACTGCTGACATGTAAGCAATCATAAACTAATTCTACTCGTATGAATCGCCTTATGTAACTGAAATTACAAAGAGTAACAAATTTTTAATCTTCTACTTAATGTAACGCATAATACTAGATGTTAATCGATGGTAAAATATAATTTTATTAAAATTTTTGCACAGTAATAAAGGTATTCGGCTTTGAATAAGTCGTTTGTTCAAAGTAATGAGATGATTGTTTTTTGTTTCAGTAGTTGTTAACCTATATTTTTTATTGAAAACATTTGAACGTGTTTTGAATGTGAAGACCGATAATCATTGTACAATCTCAATCTAGTTACAAACTTATTCTAGGGAACGTTTATCAATAGAGTCACACAGATAAAACTTTAAAAAATATTCATTTCACTATACTCACGTGAAATGTAATTCTCTTACTTTTGATACTTAAGTTAAAATACGTTCTCTTAAGTGGAAATATTAACTGATAGGAGTTTTGTGAATATTATAGTAATTTAACAGTTGCATTCACAAGTCAATTAAAGCTAGATCATCATGGAAAGCCAGAAAACACTGGAAGGCCATTTTTTCCTGGCATAGGACTCCTTAGAAATGCGCATTCACTATCCCACTCGCAGAATTCGAATCCATTTACAGTTCTATTAACAGTATAATGCAGTAAACTATTGCAAAAATGCTTCCTGCCTTGCTTTTTTGTGGTTGGATAGATACTGTAGAAGACCAAAACCATTGAAGCATTCCAGAGCATACCAAACATTATGTTACGGAAATTGTTTTTGTTCGTTTGTTTTTTTAAAAATATAGAGTTGCTTAAGGCAAAAACGTAGGAGAAGGTATTTCAAATTGTATGAAAATGGAAATCCTGTTATTAAATGAAATAATACGTGGTAAAGTTTCGAAGATTTGGTTTTTCAAACTTGTTGAATACTGTAATTAATGTTTTCATTTTTTCGCAGAAGAATACGTTGAATGAGATTTGTTAAATTGCGTTAAAACTTTAAAATGTAAACGAAAAATCTCATTTCTTACAAAGAAATATCATATGCTTTATATCTACATAAGATTCTCTACACCAACCTTGTTCAAATGAACAGGTTAAAGTATTGGTGTAGTTAGTGAAAATGACCGTTCTTAGTAATCTGTTAGGCAATAAATTTGTATTTGATTTGACTCACTTTCGGAATTTTCAGGATTTTTCAATTCGACGTCATTTGATTCTCCACATTCCTTGTGAAAACCAGTTAGAATATTGCTTAACCTTAAAAGAAAAACAGATAATATATAAGTAAATATGCAGTCAAATTTTACAACCAAAATTAATTCACTGAGTTACATACAAAATGAGATAGATGGATGTATTTATTTAACATCTGCAGTCGCGAGCGACACCGAAGCGCCTGGGTTCAAATCATTAAGCAATACTAAACAGAAGAAATTTTCGAGTTGCGTGAAGCGATCTTTAAAGATTCAACCTAATTATTAAGTGTTCACTTTGCTAGCCATGTGACAAATATAATACCATCAAGGTTTATCTGTAAAAGTGATAATGTGAGGACAGTTCACGGGTGAACTCGAGAAAGCCCTAAATAGCTCAGAAAGAGTCAAAGATATTCCATCTGATCATCTTTTGGAAGAATATTCCAGAATCACTACATAGAGCTTCCCTATTGGACAAATGCTAATAAGCCCCTGTATGTGGATTTGACTATAGTGATGATTTCGTTTTTACTAAAAACCATAAATGTCTTACAGTTTTGTACTATAATTGACACTATTTGGAATAGATTTCTTTTCACTTGTCTTATGTCTTCTCATTTGCGACTTGGAGAGTTCTAGCGTTCGAGTGGTCAAGCTATACGCGGTGTATAAGGAACTAAGCTCTAAATATAACAGATAGTCATGGTCACACTGCATACTTGTTGTTGCCAAATATCGGTTATTTCATTCGGATTTTAAGAGAATGAAAAATGAATTTATTCATACACTTCTTGGATAGTTTTATTCACTTGTATACTATATTTATTAACAAGGTTAAATCAAGTTTAATTAATGTGTTATATAAGATGTAACCTTCATTAGTTTAACTTACCCTTCTGAATTAGTATCGCATTTTTTTAACATTTTATTCCAATAACAGTCTGGATCTTTGAGTGCTAAACACTCTCTACAATAAGAATATTAATTTGATAAATTTTTAATGTATGATATCTTAAACCAAATATATATTTATTGATGATTAAAATTAAATGTAATTAGAAACCCCCAAAAGCAATTCAACTGATGAAACTTAGTTTATTAATTAAGTCTGTAAATGTTTTAGTGATGAATAAATAATTGTCACCAGGTAAATATTCATTTAGTTAGCGTCATGAACAAACTAGATCGAATATCTGGTATTTGCATACACGTTTTATTCTGTAAAAAATATATTTGTGTTTCTATATTTCAGTTTTTAGGTATAAATAAATCGTACATTGTTAGTATGATCAGGTAATTAATTCTGAATATTTAAGAAATGATTTTGAGTGAGTTAGTTGCAACCGTTGAGAAAGATAGTCTACTTTTAATGAAAAATTAAGTCTTCTTTTCTATTTTGGACAGTAGAATGTAAAAAAATTTGATTAGTTTCAGCTACTTACCATTTTTTTTATTGTTGGAAATGAGTTATTCTGATATATTTATGTCAACTTAACAGTTCTCAAATATTGTACAAACTTCTATTGGTAATTTGATTTGTTTATTTTAAAGATGAACAGAATTATTAGAACACCTTTGTTGTAATTAGATGTTTCTTGACATAAGTAGATAGAAAGCATTACATTATTGAGAAAATAAGTTATAAAACATGTATTGTCTGAATGAACACATTTAGAAGTGTTTAAGTTATTTTGTAGAAAGCTTGAACTTCATGCCTTGTTCCCTATTAATATAATTAAAATAACTCATAGTATTGTGGTGTGTGCTACCTATGTAGACACAAGTAGTATATAATATTAGTCGTGAACAGAATGTCTGGCAGCATAGAGACAAGAAGATTGAACAGTAAAGAATGAAGACAATGCAATTTGTATGAAAATGCAAGGATAATGAAGTCTGAGTCATTTTGAGACAATTGGTGGACATTTCGCTAATTGAGCATTTAATATATGGTTGTTAGCTTTTATTCGTCGAAAAGAAAAATTTTTTCTCTGAATTATCTTTTTACCTATTATTGTATTACGTAATGATACCTCCAATTAGAGAACAGTGAATTATCTGACCAGACCGATGACACATACAACCCGTACGGGTAGTCTAGAATACTTATCGGTCATTCTCTCTGCCTAACCCTGCTTGTTAAGTTCAGAACACCAATCCCAGCCTCCCTGATATGAGTCATGTATTCCAAACATACTGGGTCTATATACAAACTAAACACACTACATTGCACCACAAGATAGAAAAGAACATTTGTACAAGATCTAACCAGGAATGGCTGTGAATATGGGAGATTGTAATTAATAGACTGGGCAGAACTTAAGTACGGAAAATCATATAACAATAGTCTATGTATCAAAATAAACCTTTTAATAAGAAGAACATGAATATACATAGTTTAGCTACTTAATAATTATACAATAAAAAATATATACATTATATTGGTTCATAAATAGTTCTCAAGAGTTACCACTTATAATACTCGCCGAAATATAACAGAATTTAGCATCATTTAACAATTTATTCTATTCCTTTTATTTTATCTTGGTAATATGTTAAACCGAAAGTACTAATCTATAAATATTTATCTCCATTTATTCATTCAAAACTAAATCTTTACTTTTCAATATCTTTTTCAATAATAATCATAGAAAAATATTAATTTCTAAAATGCTCGTCATTTCTTCATCTTTTCGTTTGTTTGTTTATTTGTTTATTTACATTTATATTTTTTTCTCTTGTTACAACTTTAATTACCCTTCTGAACAAATTTCTAGCATAAGATAGTTTAATATTGTATCCATTTACTATGAATGTACCGATTTGAATTGATCAGCTTATTATAATTTCACTTAACTATTTATCTAATTAACTAATACAAAAATTTACAAATTATATTCACCTTTATTTAAGAAATTAACTTTAAGAATTAGGAAAACTTTCCCATACTCTCCTTTTAGATGATAATAATAATCTTTCGTCATTTGAATTTATCAAATTATCAAGTTCCTTTTTGTAATAATGATACATAAAAACGAATATCCTAATTATAATCTTCTCTAATGATATCATATTCAACATATTTAATATAGGGTATAAATTGTCTGATTTCTCATATACATATGACATAAACAAAATACAAACATTCTATAAAGTAATTCAAATTATGAAATGTATTTTCATTTCTTTTATTCATTTAAATAAACAGTAATGGAATAAGAATACGTGCTATGACAACATTATCATACAGTAAATATTCTTGAAAATACAAAACAAGAGAAAAGAAAACGGATGGTTTCTTCTAATATTCAGGATATTGTTTCCAAATTAAACAATGAAGTATCAGTAATTATATATATATATATATTATATATATATATTACAACATAAAGAGGAGTAAAAGCTGGATAACACAATAACTTTATAAGCAAAGATGGATGGTGGCTAGCAGTGAAATCCAGGACGAACTTTTTGTTCTATTTAGGACTCGTAAGCTGGATGTTCCTGCATCTCAAGTCCCAAATAGGACGAAACGCGCGTCCTGGATTCCACTGCTAGCCACTATCTATCTTTGCTTATAATGCTTGTAAATTAAGGCAATATTGAGGCAATATGCACAGTATTCACATATGCCAATAAGGGACTGATTAATTTCAGTCCTAAACATCAATGGGATGATTCAAGTAAACGATGCCACGTGAAGAATAACTTAAGTTTACATCTTAGTTGCTCCTTGGACTAAAGTAATTTAATTAAACATGATTAAAGTATTTTCATATCGTGGTGCATTAATGTAGTGAACAAGAACACGAATTTACTTAACACGAAATTACAGAGCATCTCAATAAAATCTGAGAATGATATGGTAAATAGTTAATTTGCAAAATATCAATCCATCGTCTCAAATTTTACTGTTCCTTTTGCAAATATCAATTCATTGTCTCAGATTTCCTTGTTCATGCATTTTCATACCAATCACGTTACGTTCCCGCTCTTTCCCTATCGATCTTCTACTGAAATACATTCTATGCCTGACCACCGTTATATACTACTTATGTGGATATAAGTAACTCATACCACATTAGTAATAATTGGTTATTGGAACTTAAGTACTCTTTTACCTATTATTTACATGTTTTATCTAAATATCCGAACAAAGTATCACAGATAAGCTGATAAGAAAATCGATAAATCGCGTACATCACAAACGAACTTGATAGAAACAATGAAACAAGTTCTTGATGATAACTCTAAATTTGCATTTTATGTATACTGAAAAATAAAATAACCCTAAAATTCTGAATGTCTCTCATTATTGTTTTCTGCATTTATCTGTTATTATCGAGAACTGACTATTCAGATTACTTGCAAATAATATTAGAATAATCCATTCAGTGAATCGATTTCATTTCTAATGTAAAACCCCGAAATTTCATGTCATTTTTACATTTGAAATAGACTGTTTACGTGAACAAGGCATCCAAGCAATGATTAATTAATTATTTAGAGCTCCATAGTTTTACAAGTTCTTCAGCTACGGACATCACATTCTAATTGAACATATTCCATAAGCTACACAATTTATAAAAGTTTTTGTCTCAGTCTCACATTTGGTTATCTCATGGCTATAGGAAGAAAATCATTATACAGGATGCGCACTGCCAAGGAGTCCCACAATAGGACGAAACGGCCATCCAGTACTTCCAGGTTTTCCATGGTGGTGTAACTTCAATTGACAAATGATTTCAACCAGTGAAATTTATAAAATTGTGACAGAAGGAAATCTTTTGAAATATTACCGATTATGTTAAGAGCTTTGTCTCACTGATCTTTTAAGTTTCATGGTCACTGTTTGATAGGTATGTAGAAAAAAGGTTAAATTTTGCATGTCTTACTTAAGAGATTGAAGACCTACAGAGAAAATTATTACCTGATTCCACCAAGTCTATCTCAATGCTTTTACTCATTTTTTACAAATATCAGTCTTAAAACAGTTCGAGCATTCAGTTTTAATCAGATTACAAAATGGGACGGATTTCTGTTCAAATTTCAGTACCCTAGACAGAGACAGAAGTTGACGATATAACAAACAAACAAATGCAAATATTATCAACTATAGTGAAAATCTATAGAACAAATGGAATAACTGGCACCGATCTATGAGAAGTTATTAATGACACTACTCAAAACCTTGAATAAAACTCATATCTAAATTCTCAATATAAGTCAATCACATCAAAATAAAAACAAAAAATCTGTCTCCAAGTATCATCTACATAGCTCTTTTTAACAGCAAAATTAGTGAGACTATAATTTATGGACAACCTTTAAGCGACACTAAGTTGACCTTGAGACTTTCCACCTAATCACCATGACCAAATGAGGGTTGCAAACCAATGTAAAGAATTTGAATTATGATAGTTAAGATTAGGAATTAGATTTAAAGTTTTCATCACGAACTGATATCAACTATAATGCGCCAAAATCCAAAACCTATTATCTTATACCTGATTAGTTCACCTATAAATTATCGTCTTTCTGTTAAATTTAACAACAACAAAAAAGTTTAGTATTTGAACGAAAAATATTCTTTTCCATAAATTCTCTTCAGGTTCTACAATTATATATCCAAATTAATAATCCGAAAAATAGCCAGGTTAATGGCAAAGTACATGGTTTAATGTATGTGAATTTAGAATTGTTAAACAAAATACAATAAAATTGTTAATAAGCAAAGATGTATAGTGGCTAGAAGTGGAATCCAGGACGCACGTATCTTCCTGTGTGGGACTCGTCGGCTGGATGTACCTGTATCTCAGAGTTGATGTTCACTCTAGGACTCGAAACCAGTACTGTTCGCTTCTCATTGATGTTTAGGACTGAAATTGATCAGTCCATCTTTGCTTATAATGCTTGTAAATTAAAGCAATATCGAAGCAACACGCACAGTATTCACATATGTGAATATGCCAATAAGAGACTGATCAATTTCAGTCCTAAACATCGATGAGAAGATTTAAGCAAAACAATATCAAGTGAATTAAAATTGTTAATGTTGATATGACTTAGATAGAATGTTAACTTGAATCTACGTATATATTAAGTGAAATTTAAGATCCATGACCAAAATAAATATGGGTCAAATAGGGTGAGAGAAAAAATAGTGCAATTACAATTCGGTCAAATGTTTAGTGGAAGGCTATATTATGTGAAAAATTAGTTAGATGTAATAAGGAGGGATAAATGCAACATTGTCAAATTTCATTAATACATGCCTTATTTTTGGCCTTTGTAAAATATCACAATGATTATGGACTTATAACTGTAGAGCCTGATGATGAAGTTATTGAAAACAATTGTTCGCTCAAATATTCTTCATTTTTGAATGAATCATGTATAGGGGAGATTAGTATTGATGTTTAACCAATAGTATTAATAACAATACAAAGATTTGTGAATAAAAATAACAGAGACAATTACAATTGACTACGAAAGATCGTAGTCGAATTAGGTCATTCAATAGCTAAGATTACTATAGATTAATTGGCCTGGATATCGGCAAGGGCAGGATGAGTAGTTGAAGGTATTTTTTCTGTACACATAGCTCCGCTTTCTTCATCCGGATAATTACTGCTTCAGCCGTTTGAAGGACTTTAAGTCTGACAAGATTTGACAAAATATTACTGACTATTTACTTTGCCCTTAACCTAACCGTTTTTCGGATTATTAATTTGAATATATGAATTGTAGAATCTGAAGAGAATTTATCGAAAACTATAGTGTTCGTTCAAATATTAGTCATTTAATATGATGAGGATCTTTAAACGAACAACCAGTGAAATTTCTGAAATCTACACAAAACCTCTTCTAATAACAATCATCTGCTCACTAGTGACTGACTTCAAGAGACACTCCTAGAGTTCTTGTGAGAAGCCGTTACCATTGGAGTTCAACCAGGTCTGTTTTGATATATCAACTCACTCAAGACTATAGTGTACGGTGGCGCAACTTCTTGGATTGGTTGAAGTTAGACAATAACGCCGTTGGATGCCGGCCAGCTCAGTGATCTAATGGTTAAACGCTCACTAGTGAGACTGATAGATCCTGTGTTCGAATCTCGTGGAGGGAGGGACAGAGTTGAGGATGCGCACTGTTGAGGAGTCCCGTATTAGGACGAAACAGTCATCCAGTGCTTCCAGGTTTTCCATGATAATCTAGCTTTAACTGACTCATGATTTCAATAGGTGAAATTTCTAAAAATCTCTACAAAACCCATTCTGATAAAAGAAAAATTAACTAATATACAATTTGTTCAATTAAATACTTACCTACACGTTTGAACTTTATCACATTGAGTTAATTCAATTTGTATGATTGTATCATGTGTAAAAATTAATAAAGAAAATATATCCATTGTAGAATAATTAAATTCTTCATTACTAGATCGTATTTGTATAGTTTTATTTAAATAAGATTTATGTAATAATAATAAATTTGTTATTTTATTTTGTTTTTTAGATATTAATAATTGTTTTATTATATAAATATTACCAGAAGTTATCATTGATAAAATTGATTGAGTTCGATTAAAATTCATTGAAATTTGTTTAGTTAAATTAAAATTTTTTTCATATTTATTTAATTTAAATTGAAATAATTCAGAGAAATTATCTTCTATTTCATTAAATAATAACATTTTATAAACATCACCATTATCTAAATGAATTTTTTTTGTTTTTGTTTTTTTGTTTTTTTTCGGAAAAAAAAAACTTTTTTAATTAGTTTATCCAAACTATTATAAAAAATATATGTTTTAATATATATATATATATATATATATATATATATATATATATATATATATTGGGTTAATTAAAGATGTTTGAAAATGTATAGTTATCTATGAAAGTAATAGTAAATCTTCAAGAGATTAATTTAATGATGAAAACAAATCAAGCAATGGTGGAGATTAAAGATTTTATTTATTGATTAAGTTGAAACAAGTTGTTATAAAATTGACAGGTTATATAATCATCAACGAGAGATATTTATACAAAAATGAGAAGGATAACAGTACTAGAGAAACAAGCAACAGTTTGTTGGTTGTTTACAAATTGTAAATATTAAAGAAAAGTATATGTTGAATTGATTTCCAAATTAATGAGAGTAAATGAATTACACTATATATATGCAAAAATTCTTTTTGGTAATATGAGTGCCGAATGATGATGATGATTTACGCCTGTATTCCTAATGGAGAATAGGCCGCTGACCAGGATTCTCCAACCCACTCTGTCCATCCAATTGTTGTTTATTGTTCTAATGCCTATCTCCATTTCTCGATGTAATGTTTTCATTGATCTTCCTCTTTTCCTTTGGTCATGAGGATTCCATGTGAGGGCTTGCCTTGTGACGCAGTTGGGTGCTTTCCTCAATGTGTGTCCTATCCATTTCCAGCGTTTCTTCATGATTTCTTCCTCCGCTGGGATTTGGTTTAATCTCTCCCACATTTGGTTGTTGTTAATAGTGTCCGTCCAACGGATCCGAAGTATTTTGTGTAGACAACTGTTAATAAACACCTGTATCTTCTGGATGATAGATTTCGTAGTTCTCCAATTTTCCTCCCCATACAGTAGAACTCTTTCGACATTTGTATTAAAAATTCTGACCTTGATGTTGGTTGCCAATTGTTTTGAGTTCCAGATGTTCCTCAGTTTTATATATGCTGCTCTTGCTTTGCCAATCCGTGCCTTCACATCTGCATCATATTCGCCATGTTCATCAATGATGCTGAACAAATATGTAAAGGATTTTACATCTTCCAAAGCTTCTCCGTCAATTGTGATTGGATTGGTATATGTTGTGTTGTATCGAAGAATCTTGCTTTTCCCTTTGTGTATATTGAGACCTATTGCTGCTGAGGCTACAGCTACACTGGTTGTCTTCTCCTGCATTTGTTGTTGTGTATGCGATAGAAGAGCCAGATCATCTGCAAAGTCTAGATCATCCAACTGCATCCTAGATGTCCACTATATCCCATGCTTCCCCTCGGCTGTTGATGTCTTCATGATCCAGTCGATCACCAGGAGAAAGAGAAAGAGTGAGAGTAAGCAACCTTGCCTGACACCGGTCATTACATCGAACGACTTTGTCAACTGTCTTCCATAGACAATTTTCCAGTTTAATCCATCATAGGAATTATGTATGATATTGACTATCTTCTCACATACGCCGTAGTGTCGAAGAAGCTTCCATAGTGTTGTCCTGTCCACGCTGTCAAATACTTTCTCGTAGTCAATGAAGTTGATGTAGAGTGATGAGTTTCATTCAATTAATTGTTCCACAATGATCCGTAGAGTTGAGATTTGATCTGTACACGATCTATCTTTACGGAATCCTGCCTGTTGGCCTCGAAGTTGGGCGTCTACTGAGTCCTTCATCCTGTTTAACAATACCCTGTTGAAGACTTTTCCTGGTATTGAGAGAAGAGTGATTCCCCTGTAGTTATCACAGTTGCTGAGATCGTCTTTTTTTAGTATTTTGACCAGAAGTCCTTCTTTCCAGTCTGTTGGTACTTGGTCCTCATCAAAATTTAATTGAAAAGAATGTGAAGTATCTTTGCGGTTACTGCTACGTCTGCTTTCAGTGCCTCTGCTGGAACGTTTTCTGGTTCTGCTGCTCTGTCGCTTTTGATTTATCTGACGGCCATGCTGATTTCTTCAATTGTTGGTGGGCCAACATCGATTGGGCGGTCCGTGGGTGCTGCATCGATGTTGTGTGAGTTCAGTGGAGCTGGTCGACTCAAGAATTATTTGAAGTGTTCTACCCATCTGTTTCGTTGTTCTTCAATGTTGGTGATTATCTTGCCTTCCTTGCTTTTCACTGGTCGTTCTGGTTTACGGTGATTTCCGGAAAGTTTCTTTGTTGTGTCATACAGTTGTCTCATGTTTCCTGCTCTTGCAGCCTTTTCCGCCATCACTGCTAAATCTTCCACATATTTACGTTTGTCAGTTCTGATGTTCCTCCTCACTTGCTTGTGTACTTCTGTGTATTCAGATTGTGCCTTGACTTTTTCTGCTCTTGTTCAGCTGGTATTGATTGCTGTCTTCTTGTTCCTCCTTTCTTGAATCTTATCCAGTGTATCAACAGTGATCCATTCCTTGTGATGGTGCTTCTTGTGGTCCAGAACCTCATAACATGTTGAAGTGATTGCCTCTTATATCTCTTTCCAGTTGCTCTCCGTAGTAGTTCCTTCTCCATTGAGTAGATCATGGAAGTCCTTGAACTTATTGCTGACGGCTATCTTGATCTTCATTGTAGTCGTTGGTAGGCGCGTAGCATTGGATGACGTTCATTGTAATTCCCTCTTTCGTTGTTTTGAAGGAGGCTTTGATGATCCTTGGTCCATGAGATTCCCATCCTATAAGTGCATTTCGTGATTGTTTGGACAGCATCAACACAACTCCTTGTGTAAGTGGGGTATTTTCTTCTTCATGGCCAGAGTATAACAGAAGCTTCCCTGAAGCTAGGTGACTACCTTGCCAGAATGCAATCAAATTTATGTCCTGTGAGCAAACAAACATCCGTTTTTTGCCTTAGACTAACATTCACCTGACTACGATGAATGCTGTTCAGATATTCTACTACAAATTTATCTAGTCAGTACCTTGATGTAACTACATACAGTGATATAGATCATCTAGATTGATAAACATAGATTTTTTAAAAAATAAATTAAAGTTTAATAAACTCAGATCCAATAAATAAAATTTCTTATAAGCTTTATTATTAGTCAATAAATCTCCATTGGAACAATATGCTTTAATGTAGAGCTAATATAATGAACTTTACTAAATTCTTTTATTAATTATTTGTCAGTCTGTCAAACCGAATTTAATACACTGCACCGTTTGATTGTGGCAAACTGTTATCATGTTGTAGACAAAATATAACTTAATTTTATTCAAAATGACTTTGTTTTCTACCACATAAAAGTGAAATACAAGTTGTTTGAAATTAGAATCAGTCGGATAAAGCATGTTGGTTAATAAGTAGATTTTACAATCAGGTCACAACTCTATAGGTGAATGATTAACTAACAAAATCTATTATTCTATATTGGTTAATATTTCGGACTACCATCTATCATATTATTTTTTCGATATTAGTTTTTAAATAAGTATCTTATGATAATCACGTTTCTTGGACTTTTGTATTTCCTTGAATATCAGTTCATTCGAATGTTTATACCAATAATTTAAACTTGCAAACGCTTATCATCATTTAAACAAAGTTAATTATTGCACTTATGAAATGACAATCTTACTATTCATTGTTTTGAAAACAGAATTTGTACATGATCTAACCTCATTACATAACATTACTCAAACAAACCGATAGTTCACTCATAAAAAAGAAAACATTCTTAAAGTAACATACAAAACAGTATATTAATTAACTTCATAGAAAGTTCTCGATGTTATTTAACTGTTAGTTTAACACTATTTATTGATATAATTTACTATTTACATAATAACTTACTTGTTCCAACATAAAATATTGTATAACGTATATGTTTTATTTGTCCAGGTTGTGTTTTATCTTGATAAATTTTAGCAACATGACGTGGATCAATAATAAATCCAGTAATTTGTGAATGTGGTTCAATCATACCAAGAATATCTAATCTTTCTGGATAAACTGAATCAACTAATAATGATGCTTCTAATGCTAAACGTTTATTTGATGTAGTTGAACCTGGACACTGAGATAAAATACATAAAATTAAAAACAAATCAATTATATAATAAAAAAATATTTTGTGTATTTTTTTTCTCCTTATGGAATAATAAATTAATTTATAATTCAATAAATGAATAATCTTCGGATAAATCAATATTTAGTATATATTATTTAATTTCAACAGTTGAGATCATTAGTCAGTTGGAGCTAGATCACCACGAAAAACCTGGAAGCACTGGACAGCTGTTTCGTCCTAGTATGGAACTCCTCAACAGTGCGCATCCACGACCGCGCCTTGCACGACTCGAACCCAGAACCTATCAGTCTGGAGCTAGGCACTTAATGAACTATACCACCGAGCTGGCCGGCATCCAACGGTGTTTATATCTAACTTCAACTAATCCACGAAATTGAGCAACACATCCACCATTGTCATCAGTGAGTAGATTAGTTGAAATTAAGCATTATTACCGTTGGACGCCGGCCAGCTCAGTGGTCTAATCGTAAGGGGATAGGATAAGAGGCTGATAGGTCCTGGGTTCGAATCTCGCGAGGGGCGGGATCGTGGATTCGCACTGCTGAGGAGTTCCACGTCGGGACGAAACGGCCGTCCAGTACTTACAGGTTTTCCATAGTTGTCTAGCTTCAATTGATTCATGATTTGAACCAGTGAAATTTCTAAAATCTCCACAAAACCCCTTCTGATATATTATTTACCATAATAAAAATATATATTACGTAACGCACTTTTATAAAAACAAACCAAAATTAATTTTGATCAAATAAACTAAAAGCCCCCTACCTATGTCATTACTGTCTATTTTTAGAACTATCATTATATTTTCTTACTTATAATGTTTAAAATCATATAAATAATTTAATGTCTTAGATACTATAAATTAGTTAATAACAGATTGTCATTAAATTCTCAGGGTGGATTGCCAGTGAATACACCTTCTGTATTCTCGCAATTACATTCTCGTTATCAATAGTTTAAGAGCTAAAATCTACTAAAAGTTGTAGGTACAATTATCAAGGTTTGACTTGATAATTTCGAATGAATTGAGCATTGAGTAGATTGTTATGAATATAAATAATATATTTATGATATCTCAATGAGTAGAAAAATTAGATTTTCTAACGTTTCGTGACTTAATGTATGTCACTTCTTCAGATAGTAAATAATCAAATCAAAATTAATCCAAGTTTAAAAGGAAAAACGTAATAGAAGTTCACGCCATTTTCAAAAACCACCAAATCAATTTCAAAAACATCAAAATATTACAAAAAGGTTTTTCCAACTACAAAGAAAGGAAAGTAGCTGACGCTTTCCATATAATGCTTAATACTACTGCTCTCAATATAAAAGAAGGCCTCATTATTTATCTGACTTGGACTATCTATCTAAGCTATCATGTCTGATATTATTCACATTTCACATCATTATTTTACACACAAATTAAACTCTGTCCTTTCGCACCACACAGGTCATATTTTTTTATCCCTTACCTTGTACACATACATATACACAAATTTACATACATTTCACCGATAAATAAACTTGACCGAAGTGACATGACATTGACTCGTTCAGACCTGTTTTTTGATTGATCGCACATAATATTCTTGCGTTGATCGTTTTTACTATTTAAACATGTATTAGTTTTGATTTGGTTATTTATTCTCTGAAGAAGTGATTTATACTGAGACACGAAACATCAGAAAATCCAATTTTTTCTACTCATTGTGATACTACAAATATATTATTTTATTTATCTATTAAAGGCTGTTTAAAATGGTGTTTATCTATAAAATAATCCATCTAATATATTATTATGAAAATACTAAACGAAGTACAATAGTACAACATTCTGTGCTCAGAAAAGTACAAATTTCATGTATTAACATAGACATTAACAGAGATATGTATAGCATGATTTGTTATCATATTCGACAGTTTACATTTATACTAAAATGATGCTCTCATTGTTTATGAGTAAACATGCTGTTTTAATATGATGCAAACTAATAATTCAGTATTACATGTAATTTGTAGAATTCCCTTGGCTGAATAGCTCGATCGAGAAACATTTTCTCCTGATTTCTTAAATATCACTAACCTAAGAAATATCACATATCGTTGCTTCTATCAGGGTATGTTGACAATAGAAAAGAGGGTTTTTTTTAGAAAAGTGAACACAGCCGCCATAAAAATGATAGGTTTCCTAAACATTAGCACTAATGTCAATCAATAATTAGCAAACATATTGAAATATAAATCCACTTGGTATTGTTTTACTTGTATCTTCCCATTGTTATTTAGGACTGCAATTGACCAGTCTCATGTTGGCATATGTGCATCTTGTGCGGATTGCCTCGATATGGCCTTAAGCCACAAGCTTACTAAGCAAAGACAAATGGTGACTAGCAGTGGAATCCATGACACGCGTTTCCTCCTATATGGGACTCGTCAGCTGGATGTACCTGTATCTCAGACTCGATATTCACTCCGGGACTCCAACCCAGTACCATTCAGTTCAAACGCCTTTCATCTTATCCACTTAGATACTGAGTCCTGATAGACAACTGCTTGTGACTGATCGATTGCAGTCCTAAATAACAATGGGAAGATAAAAGTAAAATAACGGTATTAGGTTCGAGTTACAGAGTGAACATCAACTCTGAGATACAGGTACATCCAGCTGACGAGTCCCACATAGGACAAAACGCGCGTCCTGGATTCCATTTCTAGCCACTTATCCATCTTTGCTTAAAAATATTTAAATATACTCATTTTTACCAAATAATTGGACGAATTACAACATTTACATCACGAATCACATCGAAAAGACAGTCAATATAAAGCTTCAGACAATAATACCAAACTGAAATCTCACATAACGTAGTATGTTGCTTTACTTTACAGGAGAATGAAATTATTTATGTATAATAGCTTAAGTAATTTCTGGTCTTTATTTAATAAACGCTTTTATATACGTATATTCTCATGTCATAGAAGGTTGTGAAAGTTAAATCATTAATGATTATCAAGAATAATATCATTAAATTCAAATCATATATTGACTGTTATGAAATTTTTAAATACCTTTGTAAAGTTTTTTAAATATGAATATTTATCACGATTTATTCGTTTGAAACCATTTGAATATCTATGCCTACCATGTGTAAACAAATTACTTTCATTATTGAATTTTGAATAATTTTCATAAATAATATTTATTTGTTCTTTATAATATGATGGAGAAAATGTTGGTAAACGTAACATTAAATCACTAGATTCAATAATTTTATCCACAGTAGAAAGTTTATAAATACATAATGCTAATGGTCCAGATGATATTAAATTATTTGTTAATTTTAATGGTAATTCATTATTTAATTGAGGATCACGAGCTGAGAATAAACCATAAATAAGTAAATCATTTTTAATTTCTGGTAAATAACTTGTTGATAATGCAACAAGATAATTAAAATCACGATTTGTAGATGAGATACTATTGAAAAAAATAAATAAATAAATAAAAACAAAAACAAGTTAAACACAGATAAATACAAAAAAAAATAGTTTTTTTTAATAAATCAATTAGTATGTTAATTATGTATCTGAAGGGATTTTGTGGAGATTGTAGTAATTTGGGATGAGATTCTGTAATGCACCACATAATTTTCTATCTTCAAAAGCGTAACCACAGTAAGGCAAATAACAACAACCCAATCATTTATAAAATATCGATAGTGATTATCAGTATTATAAGCTACATTTATTAAGTATGACAGTAACCCATTTTTTTCTATTGAATTATTATAATCATTCTCTTTTATGCACAGCTTATCTGTTCAATTAATTTGATTGTAGTAAATTGTATATTATTTATAGTATAAAGATAATGCTCCTCATTAGTTATTTGCATTTTATTAGCAAGATATTTATCAAATCGAATCAAATAGTCAAAATACAATTCTTAAAACAAATGAACAAGATGATGCACGTGTAATTAAATTACAAATGAAAGTTTTACAAATTAATCAAGAGAATTATAATTTAGAAGAAGAATTAAACAATACAAGACTACAATTAGCACAGTCACGTTCAGAATTTAATGCGGTACGACAAAGTTTAAGTAATAAAAATCATGAATTGGAAGAGTAAGTTACCAGAATTATATTAATTTTAATAGTTAAAATCATGAGTCAATTGAAGCTAGACCACCATGAAAAACCTGGAAGCACTGGACGGCCATTTCTTCCTAGTATAGGACTCCTCATCAGTGCGCACCTATGATCCTGCTTTGCGAGATTCGAACCCAGGACCTACCAGTCTTGTGCGAGAGCTTAACTATTAGGCCACTGAGTCTAGCTTCAACTGACTCATGATTTCAACCATTGAAATTTTGTATTTATTAAAATATTTATCATTTATAATTTAAGTATATTAAAAAATTATCAAAATCACGGCGAGACTATAATTTATGGGTGAACTAATCAGTTCTTGGATTTTGGCACGAAATCCACTTACACATTTGACCAAACAACGTCTTGGCATTTTAGTTGATGTTAGTTCGTGATGAAAAACTGTAAATCTAATTCCTAACCCTAACTATCAACTGTGAATCATAATCCTTATTCTTCAAACTGCATTATAACTCTCATTTAGCTGTAATAAGTAGGTAGACACTCTTGAAGGTCCTACATAAATTATAGTCTCACCGCTAAAACTATTAATCTTAAATTCCAGTTAAAAGAAGTTTAAGTAACCGGTAATTGTTTTTATAAAACAAAACGCAAGACACGTAAACATTTAAACTGTGAGCATATAGATTAATAAATGTAAATAAAGATTTAGCCTACTTATTAATACCCTTTGAATTATTTTATCAAATGAAATGTGGTTATTAATTTTAATATTACCAATTAATATAGTTGATATATTCATGTATTAAGAATTGATAGGTTAAGTATTTCATTATAAATAAACAATAGTAAGTATAAATACAAACTATCACAAACTGTATATCAGTATAGGGTGGTGGAGATTATTACGCTTTAGATTGATATTAGACCATCATTGAAAACCTGGAAGCACTAGACAGACATTTCGTCCTATTGTGGGACTGCTCAGCAGTGCGCATCCACTATCCCACTCGCGGAATTCGAACCCAGTTCCCTCACTCTTGCGCGCGAACGCTTAAGCTCTAGACCACTGAGTCGGCGGTGTTATTGTCTAACCTCAACCAGTCCACAAGATTGCGTGACCACCTTCCATTGTACCAAGGTAGTTACCAGTCTCTACACAACATGGTTTAGTTCCACTGGTCATGGCTTTTCACTAGAACTCCAAGAATCCCGTGACGAAGCTAGTCACTAGTGAGCACATGGTAATTATCAGTATAGGGTTGTGGAGATTATTAAGTTTTTGATTGAGATCATGAATTGATTGAAGTAAGACCGCCACTGAAAATGAAATTCGACAATCTGATTAGTCAAATTATCATACAGTACAATAAGATGATAATAAGATTGAAAACAAGCAAATGAAAATATTAACAATGTTACTAGTTAACAGTTAAATAAATTCTTAGAATCATCTTGACGAATCGTACATTATCAAAATTAGAGACAAAAAAACATAACAAAGAACATATGCGAAAATAACAAGGAATCTATAGCTCTAGTGGAAATGTTTCAATTATCCTTGCAAATAATTAAATGTTTCAAACACGAAGTAAACTCATTAAAATAGTAGAACTACATTTTCTGTTAATTGTTTTTAAAAAATAGTAACTAAACAAAAATTTCTTGACTGTTATTTTCATTCTTTTTTGTCAATTTTCCCTAGAGTTACATCACGGTGACACAAAATGTTATCTTGTAGATTTCTTTGATCTTTAGATTTGAGGAGAAATATGTTGCTAAGTTATTTAAATCCATTTTATTTATTACTTATTAAAGTGGATTTAGTTAGCGGGGGATAATTTTTTTTTAAATAAACAGTAATTTTCCCATAATTATTATAAATAATATGAATTACCCTGTTATTTACATGCTTTATTGAATTATGATCAGTCTTTGTTAACATATGTGTATCCTGTATAAATTGTTTCAACACAAACAGTTTGATGTAAATGTTGTGTAAAGGATTTTTAAAAAATCGGTTAATAATCAGATGAAGAACTCTGATTTTGACTTATTTCCGACTATTTAGATGAGTGGACGTACATTCTAGTATTTATGCTCTCATTGGTACTAGAACACAGTACATACAACCGATGAGTCCCGAATTAAACGACCTGAACTTTCTGGATCCCATTGCTAGTCTCACTTCATTCACTCTATCTGAAACATCAGTTATCGCTCAATCACTTCATAGTTAGAATAAACGTTATAAGAGAGATATAAAGTAATACATTCTCCATAGGTCCCATAGGCTATATATTTCAGTCTTAATGTACACTATTTAAACATTTTATACCAAGTCGACATTTAATCAAAACCAGTTAATAATGTTAATTATCTTGAAAATCTCTTATACTAACAAAAATCAAATTATTTATGAGAACTTAACACTAAAATTACTATCAACTTAGAGAAATGAATAAATAAAAGTATAATTTTCGATTCATAATCTAAATAGTTATATCATATAAGTTTAAAACAATTTTACTTGATAGTAGTATATTCATTTATTATAATAATTATTATTCATTATTATAATATTACATAAATGAATAAATAAATAAATAAATAGTCTTAAGGGAAATTAAAGTTAATGAATAAATAATAATAATAATAATAATAAATGAATAATAATGAAGTCAATTTATAATAAATTATGCTTTATTTTTAATGAATCAGTCTACAAAAAGAAAAAAATTAGTCATTAGATTAGGTTTATTGTTACCTTCTCATTAGTTTCCATATATATAATTGTATATTATTAATAATAGTAATAATAATAATTATTATTATCATATAAAAAAATGTAGACTTTTTTACAGTTTTATTGATTTGATTGGTAAATGTTTTAGTAATAATATTCTCATGTACATTTATTTCTCCTAAAATAAAATACCATCTTATAATGTGCCATATTCAATTGATTTCATATTAAAATTAATCAAATGTACTATTTTTTTCAGAGAGGGAGTTTTATAGAGATGGTAGTAATTTAATCATTGAATTCATGAGTTCATTGAAGTTAGACCAATATGGAAAACCTGGAAGACTGATAGGACTTAGATTTGAAGCTTGCAGGGCGGGATCGTGGATGTGCATGGCTGAGGTGTCTCATACTAGGATAAAACGGCCATCTAGTGCTTCCAGGTATATCATAATGGTCTAGTTTTAATTGACTCATGAAGTTAAGTATTATTTTTGTCTACGATTGAACCGCTTCTCTTTATTAAAAAAAAACCAAAATTTATTAGAAACTTCTATGTACTTGATAATTTTCCTATAGTTTATCAGTAATAAATGACATTATACTGGCTAAATAACATTATTTCATAACTATTAAAAGTGAATTATATCAAACTTTTCCTAGCTGAGATTCCCACAGTAAAGTTCCTTAAAGGAACTTAATTATCATAATGAGTAATGTAATAAATACTTCATCAGATCAAGTTACTTTAAAATGTGCTTTAATTGAATGACAAAACAATAAAAGTTCTTAACTTAATGGATCTGAATACATTTTATATATTGCATTTTTATTGTTTATATCAGAAAGGAACTAATTATAAGCATCATTTTACTAATGTTCCATTCTGTTAATTCATGATTATCAAATTTCCTGCATTTTCCATATTTTTAACCGATATATAGCAAGAAACAAATTCAATTGTTGTGTATGACTCGTCAAAAATAGATCTATCACTAGAACGTAAAATTATATATCGTCATGTTAAGACTGATTTGACAATCTTGACTTATGAAGTCAATTGTCACATGAATGTAGTTTTAAAATTCTGGTAAACGTACAGTAGTTTCAGATAAAATCTACCTTGTACTTAACTGATCAGTAAACCATTTTATGCATATGACAGAGCAAAGTATTACCGCAAACTCCAAGCTAATTAACTTGATAGATATTCTTTGCTGATGAATGCTAGTGAAAAGAAAGCCGGTCTGACATATTCTCTCTCTCGAAATACAAAATTCTAACGCTTAACTTACTAAACTAATTTAGGATGAAAATGAGTAGTGAGTAGAAAGGTATATTATAAAATTATATGTGCTTACAGCTCAAACAAACGTACAAATAGAGTATTAGGTGAATGATGACCTTGATTAGCTTAATACTAATGCTATTCATTAGAGCTCACCTAAGTCTGCATTTGACTTTGAAACCTTTGCAAAATGTGATTTAACGAACCTCGTTTGATTTTTTTCATATTGTTAAACATGATATTATCCTGGTAACTATTGTCGATTTCATCATACTTAACCACCTTTTTCTCTTTATTTGTACACTAGTTGTTTATTGATTATTAGTTAATTATATGACTTAGTATAACACTATATACTTCAAAGCTACTTTTAAATTTCTGTTTAATTTAGACCGTTGGTACATAATTCGTTTGTAAAATGATGGAAGCATGACTTTATCAATATAGCTTGAAATACATTTAAAACTCACCAACCACAAGAGAGGTCAAATATTTGTAGAGTACATATTTCCTGCTAACTTATCAAGATAGATTACAAGTGTTTTTCAACAACACATGATCTACCTGTACTTTACTATAGAAACTCCTTGCTGAAACAGTTCTAAAGTATTCACTTGTATAATATGTTTCACTTAAAAAACCGTATTAAGGTAAATAAATTCAGTTATCCTTTAAACCACATGAAATTACTCACGATAGTTTAAATTTAAATAAGTAAACAGAAAATGAGAGAACAGTTTACAAAGTAGCATTTATCATCCTATTTTAAAGGTAGAAGCTTATTGAAAACAATAGTCGACTTACCTAGGTGATCCATCTAAGTTTTTTGTTTTTGTACGAACTTGACATACAAGCCTTGTCTTAAAAAATGATGTGAACAGCTTACTTCCGTCATTTGGCATAAGAAACCCTTTATCCTCTGTACAGATCCGAGCTATACGTGTATATACAATCTATTTTGATGAAAGAGGAAACAAAAAACACATCAATATGATTCGAACAGTTTATAACCGAGTAGAAGAAAATGTTAACATTAGAATATTATTTTTCCTAACTTACAGAATTTTCAATTTTGTAACTCAAGATTTCCTTTGAGTGATTAGATCAGTAATTATTTTATTGAGTAAAGTATTTATAAGTAATAAAGAATTTACCATCATAAGATTCTACTAATTAAAGGCTAAATAAACTCAAATCTGATTTGGATTCATGGTAAAAAATTTAAAATAGACTTAACAAGAAGACTATATGCATATAATTACAAGAATGTAACGCAAAATGTAACCCATCAGTACAAGCAATAAGTGGAAGCGAGACATAACAATAGTTGTTAAATTCCTTGTTTTGTCTTAGAATTTTGATAACTCGTACCATATTCCCTTGGTATAAGGAATAAAATGTATAAACAATTAAATTTAAATCATGTTCTATTACATCAAGCTACCATTTTGAAGTTTAGAAGACTGTTGAGTTTGTATAAAGATTATGAACCGATCAATGTCATATCAAACCTGGTAGCACTGGGCGGCCGTTTCTTCCTTTAAGGAATTCCTTAACGAGGCACATCTGCCCCCAAATGCCTTAGTATGGCCGAGAGCGGGGTGGGTTCGCCCTCCCTCGCGAAATACTCTCACACGGCCACGCGTATACAGCCTCTGTCAGGGAAGTCCTACTCACTGCCTTCTCGTGGCGGGGGTTGTTGTTTACAAAAATGAGAGGACGAAAAGTGAATGTCTGGCGCTTTAACCGGATCCCAAATCAATGGTGTACATGGGCTCCAGTATCCTGAGGGAACAAATGGCGTATAAACCAATCGTTGGTCACCGACTTCCATGAGACTGCATCTCCTCACGATGCTCCACTGCCTTGTGGGTTAGACGTTCAGGTCGAAGGCTCGGGATGTGGCCCCCTAAGAAAACCACCTGCTTCGGTCTGGGCGCCCAGGCAGTATCACAGCCCACACACAAATATAATGAAAATGATGATGTTCTCTGAAAACTCTATTCACGCCGCGATTTACCGTCAGACAATTCACATTATTATTATTATTTACTACGTCATTTATTCACTCTCTTTCACTCCCACTCTATCCTTATTTTTCGACTTATACAGCAGCTCGCCTATGGTGGACATTCGGCTCTATCTAAACGTTCTCGAGTCACTGTCTGGTTGGAAATTGTATGTTACCACCGAATACGAGTACTGAAGCAGTTTTTCTGAAACCACGTGCACCATTCAAACTGGCTGCCTTCAACGTTCGCACACTTATGCAGGTCGGACAACAGATAGGGTTGGCTATGTCTTTGGAAAGTCTTAATATTGACGTGTGTTGTCTATCCGAGACCCGTATTCAAGACTCTGGTGAAGTACTACAAGTTCGCTCTCCATCTGTCACTTCAAAAAGCTTGTTTTACGTGTGTTTATTCGGGGACCCTGTGGCATCTTCGTTTGGTCTTGCTGGCGTTGGTGTCGCACTAAGCGTTAGAGCTGAGGCATCACTAATCGACTGGATCCTCATTAACAGTCGGTTATGTGCTGTTAGATTAGAAAGCTCCATCAAAGTGAGAAGAAATCGGCGTGAAAAACGATGTCTTTTCGTCATCTCCGCCTATGCCCCGACAGATTGCAGCCCGGATGCAATCAAGGAGGAGTTCTACCACCAGTTAACTGTTCTTCTCCAGAAAGTGCGTTCGACAGATATTGTAGTACTAGCTGGAGACTTGAATGCTCAGGTCGGGCGTCTAGGCACAGAAGAGAGTCGTTTAGGTGGCCGATGGGGACTTGTTGGTAGCAGGACAGATAACGGGGAACGTCTACTGCAACTATGCACAGACCACAACATGTTTCTGGCTAGCACTAACTTTCGGTACAGTCATCGCCGATGTGCCACCTGGTGTCCTCCTTCTGCATCTCAAACCTGGACTCAGATTGACCGCATCGCGATCAGCTACCGCTGGCGTGGTTGTGTACAAGACTGATGCTCCTTATGAACTAGCTATCTGGACTCTGATCATCCTCTGGTCTGCGCCAATCTCATCTTACTTTTCAGTGGACAACGAAGTGACCGCCACCAAAGGATTGATGTTAGCAAGCTGGCTGCAACTTCTGTTGCTAGTAAGTGCCGAACCAAGCTAGCTTCTAGGCTAGCCACCATTCCACCGAAAAGTATAGATAAGCACTGGTTGCAATTGCATGACGCCATGAAAATGGCGGGTCAAGTCTGTTGTGGGTTCGCGAAACGTCCCGCTTATAAGCACTGGGTTTCTTCTGGTTCCTTACAACTCACTGAAGCTCGTCGGTTTACTCCGAGTGACCGTGAGTTTGACCACAGACAAAGGATGTTACGTAATGAAATCGGGCAAAGCTTGCGTAAGGACCGAGAAGCCTGGTGGTTGGAGCGTGCTAATGAGCTAGAAGCAGCAGCTGCATCGGGTGATTACCGGAAGCTCTTCCAACTCATCCGAGCCACTGGCAGCAAGAAGTCTGGTGTGAGCCCAACAATCTGTGAGGATGACGGAACGCCAATCATTAACATCCATCGACGTCTTGGACGATGGAAAGAATTTTTCGAAGGGCAGTTCAACTGGCCTGCTGCTCTGGCAACATTGGTCAGACTGTCCTGCCCTCCATGACCGGTGTCGACTGATCCTCCAAATGAGGCGGAAGTCCGCAAGGAACTCCAACTCTTGAAACGTTACAAATCACCGGGCCCAGACGACTTACCTCCGGCTCTTTTTAAAGATGGTGGTGACTTTCTGACTAAGGGACTGACGACGTTGTTTACAAAGGTCTGGGAACTAGAGTGTGTACCAACGTCATGGAATGAGTAGATAGTTGTCCCTATCTTTGAAAAGGGTTCACGTCGTTCCTGAAACAACTATCGGGGGATAAGTCTACTTCCGATTGCGTCCAAGCTATTGGCTTCCGTCATACTTCGTGGGTTGTTCAAAACCCGAAAAGATTGACTAGCGAGGAGCAGGCTGGGTTTCGTTCCGGTCGAGGATGTATTGATTATATCTTCACACCGTCATACTTATCAAAGGTCAACAATCGTAGTGTTTCTTGATATCAGGGCTGCCTTCGATTCGTTGGATAGGACTGTTCTCTGGGACTGTCTATTGAAGATGGGTGTGCCTGAGAAGTTTATTAACATCCTAAAAGCCCTATACACAAACACCAGGTAGAGTGAGGGCATACAACCACCATTCTCCATTATTCCATTCGAGCAGTGGAGTTAAGCAGGGTTGCCCAATCTCACCATTCCTCTTCAACTTTGCCATCCATGACATTCTGGAAACAGCTCTGACGGATGTAAGTAATGGTGGTGCGGATCTGTTGCCTGGAGAAACACTTCTCGACCTTGAGTATGCGGATGATATTGTCTTACTGTGCGAGAATGTTCAAGCCATGCAATCCGCACTTAATCAGTTGGCAATCAATGTCCGTAGGTATGATATGTGCTTCGCACCTTCGAAGTGCAAAGTACTTCTACAAGACTGGCAGGATTCTAATCCTGTACTCACTCTGGACGGTGAGCAGATAGAAGTGGTCGAGAAGTTCGTGTATCTAGGTAGCTGCATAAGTGCTGGTGGTGGTGTGAGTGATGAGATCAATGCACGTATAGTGAAAGCCAGAGCGGCTTATGCCAATCTGGGCCATCTTTGGCGCCTTCGTGATGTTAGTCTGGCTGTAGAAGGTCGGATCTACAACACGTCGGTGAGAGCAGTTCTGATCCATGCTTGTGAAACCTGGCCTCTCCGAGTTGAGGATGTTAGACGACTCTCTGTGTTCGATCATCGTTGTCTCCGAAGGATTGCTGACATCCAGTGGCAACACCCTGTTCGTAATACAGAGGTTCGGCATCGTGTGTTTGGTCACAGAGACGACAATCCAATTGGTGTCACCATCTTGAAACACCGACTTCGGTGGCTTGGACATGTTCTACGAATGTCGTCCCAGAGAATTCCTCGTCGTGCATTATTTGCCGACTCTGAGACTGGTTGGAAAGAGCGGAGAGGTGGTCAGTGTATGACATGGTGTCATGGTATGGAAGAAAGCTGCCAAGGGCTGGCTTGTGTCGGTCCTTCACGATTCCCTGGCTGGGGTCCTAGAGATGGTGCATCACAGTGGCTAGAGACGTTATCAGATATGGCTCAGAATAGAAGCCAGTGGCGATCCTGCTGTAACCTTCTTTTACTTTCTTCATTAATAGCGGTTGCTTCTTCTTTAACTGAAAGAATTCTTCTGATCGTACCTTTTCGTTTCCCCCATGATTACTACTATTACACTACCTCCCACTAATCTGATCGTTATCGTTCTCTTGTTGTTTTTTAATTCCCTACGCTTCTTACCTTTTCCTTCCCTACTCTTTAAATCCTCATTGTTTTGTGTGGCGCATATATATTTGGTGCCCCCTTGTACCAATATTTATGTGTTCAAACAAATAAATAAATAAGCGAGACCGAAGGTCCTGTGCTCGAGTGTTGGGCTCGAGACCGTGGATGAAAACTGATGAAGAGTTCTATACAAAAACAAAACGACCTTCCAATGCTTCTAGGTTTTCTATGGTATTCCAAAATTGATAGGTTCATGATCTCAGTAGAACATTAAACTATACTGTTGTAACAGTGATAAAAATATAACGCACTTTAAAACAAAGAATTGTGAAGTGTATGGGAAGATTTATAAATCCAGTGGATGTTAGCGGTGATGTTATACCCTGTTACTACTACAGTCGAACGTTGATTTCATTCGTTGCTTTTCCAGACAATATCATCAGTGTATCGCCTAAAATAACCTCTATTTCAAAGAACGCAATATTATCAGAAACCAGTTTTGTACTAAAAATGTAATGTAACAATTTTTTCGTTCATGATAATCAAACAAGTAGATCTTTCTGTTTATATGTTATTCAGGACAAAGATACACCATCAACAAAGTGCTTGTGATACCAAGAGCTTAAATTACAAATAGTTATTTCTAGAACTAGTCTCCAAAAGTGGATAATAAATTTTTCAATCAGGTTTATGTTTTAAATAAATTCTGAATACTGTAAATCATACTGATTCACAAATCAAAAGTTTTTAAAACCTATAAAGTTGTGTGATAATAACTAATTATAATGTCAAGTACGCTGATAGAAAAATAGGTAAACCAATAAAATTAGTAACCAAAACTCCTACACCGTTGTAGCAACAACAACTGCCAATCGAATTAAACGTCAATATTTCTTAACGAAGCCAAAAATTTCACTCATTTCTATTGCTTCACAACCGTACTTATTGACTTGCTAAGCCATCTTTTAACAACCACTGTTTATTTAGCTAAGTACATATTTTAACCAAAGCACTCAAGCTGCTAAGTACTTTGTTTGGTACTAACAACTTTTCAAACTTACACGTACAACATGAAGAGAAAAAAAACAAAAATTCAAACAGAATAACATGAATACATTTTCATTCGTGAGCTTGTCATCAACTATATACAACTTGTAACATTCAGAAACAATTATTATTACGAGATGAGATTAAAGTCTTTGGATGAGTGAGTTTAGTCGGAAGTTGTTTTCAACTCACATTATTATGCTCAAGCAGGAATGAATACAGAAGACTAGGTAAAAATATTGCAAATATATTTCCTTGATTAATGGCTTTAGCGAACAAAACTCTAAGGTAGAACCTCTTTTCTGTTCTAATAATATGACTACTTAACCAGGTACTCTTAAATATACATCTATAGTCAGTAGCATCTTGAAGAGGAGGGTTGTAGGTCACTCAATTTAAATCAGTTCAATTCAACTGTATCACCTGTTTCCACAAGTTTAAGCAATTAGAACGTGAATTTTAAAACCCTAAAACCTCAAGAATACTGTCGTTTATGGCATATAAATTGATAACATAAGTAGAAATAGTTTAGTTTAACTAATTAATTGCCACATAACACTTTCCTATTTCAAATTGAAGTTACTAAAAATAGTAATATATACGACTTGAAACAAAATAATTAAGATGTAAGTTTCTTTTGAAAATAAAAAAATTATTTTTTTAATTTCGTAAAAGTTTATTCAATATTGATTACTTTATTTTTAATTATAATACAACCACTTTAGTTTTACCATCCTCCCTTATTCCTTATACCCAAAAAACTATCAAAAGAACAAAGGGATTTTAAGTAAATATTTATTTTTTTTTCATATCGAATGTAAACTAGTTTTACATTATCTATGCCTAACCGTAGATAAGCTAAATTTATTTTATGTGACCATTTTGAAAAAATGATTTGATGTTATGTTGAACTTTTATTTTGATCCGATTTGATTAAGATGAATCTGGAGAAAATTCAAACCAATTGTAATCAAGTAAAATCTTATAATCCATATCAGATTTTAACCCACATTACATGTCTTCACATTCATTTCTAATCTTATAATATATACTAGCTAATAATCGAATAGGGTTCTTAATGTATATTTTGGTTCCCTTGACAAAACATGCAATGGGTCAACCGATAGATCAATACATTTATGTTATAATGTCTTTTGTTATTATTTATAATCAATTTTTAATTAAGGGATCTTGTATGCTTTACATTGAGATTATTTATTCATATTTAAAATTTACATTATATGTGGTTTTCGGACAAAATATATTTAGACAATAAATTCACTAATAACGATATAGTCATTTTAATTCAACTATTTAAGTTTTTGATTGAGATCATGAACTGATTGATGTTAGACCACCATTGAAACCCTGGAAGCACTAGACAGCCATTTCGTCCGTTTTGCCGTGACCAGTAGAGAAAGGTTTCTACCTCAGTACCATCGAAAATAGCAACGTAATTTAGTGAACTGGTTGAGGTTAGACATTAACACCGTTGGATGCCGGCCGGCACGGTGCGAGAGTGAGGGAACTGGGTTCCAATCCCGCGAGTGGGATCGTGAATGCACACTTCTGGGAAGTCCCACAATTGGGTGAAACGGCCATCCTGGGCTTCCAGGTTTTCAATGGTGGTCTAATATCAATCAGTTCATGATCTCAATCAAAAACTTAACAATCTCCACAACCCTATACTATTAACTGTTTAACTAGCTTTTAAAATAATTAATTTTTTTACGTTTTCTTCCCGTTTATATTATATAAAACAGTGTTTAATGTTGATTCTATCAATTTAGTTTATTAAATTTTATTAGGACTTATGTTATGGATTATTTTTTGCACACTCATGTTTTATAAAAGTACTGGTAAAGGTAAAAGTGCCTTCGATGTAATACTCTATTAGATTACATAACAGTGATTTGTTGTACTGATGAGGCCAAATTTTTAGCTATTGTCTTAATCACTTTTTACATGAAATATTAAGTTGGTTTCATCAGCCTACTGATTAATAAAGTAACGATTGTTAATCATATATACCTCTGAATTCGATCACTTCCTTACTTATCATGTTAATTCATTGTCCAATAAACAGTAAACTGTTAGTTTAAATAGTTCATTGGTGATATTTCAATAAATTTTAGATGTAGTTTTCATCACAAACTTATGCTATCTTGAAGCCACAGTGCTCTCAGCAGAAGTTTTGACCTAAGTCGTAATCATTTAGCAATGCATATTCATGATTTCACATCATATTAAAATCAGTAACGTACATATAGCTCTGAACAACATAACTGAAGAATTTTGAAATATAATCTGTAGGTCTCCATTCTATAATTTTGGATAGAGCCCTCTGATTTTTAATGATTCAACAGCTGACATCATTTCGGAGTAAAAATCGTTGTCAGCTTCTTAAAATGTTTACAAATCTACACTAACTTGATGAATTAAAATCGTAAAAAATACGACTACACTTTGTAACTAACATTCAACTTACTTTTACAGTATCGAGTTTATTATAACTATAAGAATCTTAGTTATAAACGCCTACATACAACATAAATTAAGAAGAGCGTATAAAAAACTGTTAACTTTATGAATGCTTCATTAATTTTGGGTATTAGATAAGATAATATAAATGAGAGAGACGGTGAGTGAATTAAAACAAAACACTTCAAATCAGATGAATTCAAATTGTGGAATATAGATTCCTCATATTTATTAACTTAAATATGAATAATTAATTTAACATGAATGATTAAGTACTTGTCAAACCTCACGGTAATACTTGGAGGAGGAAAGACTGAATCTCATTTTCGGATGACCATTTGTGATTGTTTGGTTCGCTGTAGTGGTCCTTTGACAATATGAAGTATTTAAGCTCCAACATTTTTTGCTAAGTCATTTTCAACAATATTGATAAATGAAGCTACTTTATGATACTCGACATACTGTCCATTGGAACCAAATCAGTTTATCCAGATTTCCAAGTCTTAATGTTATTTCTTCTCGATCAAACTCTTAGGCTTATACAGTTTCGATTCAAGCTATATGATAGTTTTGTCACTTTTTAGAATAAAATTTAACATTCTAATATAGTTACTACTGTAAACTCTATGATCAAAGTATTTGAAATGGGAATCCGTGAGATTTTTTAATAAATTATAATTGAATAAACAGGTCATTTCTCAATTTATTATGAAAGATACATAATGTATTGTTAAATAAAGTTTATTGATGCCAGAATATCTTTATTTGTCAAATATTCTGAGCCTTCGACAATGATAGAATGATACCTCAACATAGAGCCTACTATTTTAATTATTTGAAAATAAGCACATTTACTAAATGAACAGAACTTAACTTTTATAGATAAGGCAAATGTGGATACATACAAATACAACATGATTCTGATAGGAAACAATGCTAAATAAAGTAAAAAATTCACCCTATTCATGACTTATAGAAAGCTTCTTGAGGTTCTTTCTCTCTTGAGTTTAGTTGACTAGGTTATTGAGAATGGAAATGAAACATTTCCAATTATATCATTACTCAGGAGAATACCATATAACAATAGACTCCTTAAGTAGAATCACAACCAGAATAAGATATTAAAAATCTTTACCAATCCCATGTTTCCCAGTTCCGTATTTGAAATGATGAGATAAAAAGGTGAAAGTAAACTCTGACTTTTGTACAACATTACTTCCATCTTTAATTCTACACAATGATTACTCAGTGCAACATATGTATGATTTTCAGTGGGATATTTGATTTACTATAACATCAATTTATTTCAGAATGGTCTATTCAAGATATGATATTCTTTACATTGATTCAACGTGAAATATATTCATCATGACATAAAGCATGTCAATCATGTATGCTACTTTTGTCTAATTAATCATTGAACGGATGTATTAATCAATATATAACTGAGTGTATTTTTAAATAGCGTCGGCGTGTTTTGAGGTTAATAAATTCATTTTTGTACCAGACTTCTGTGCGCATACTTCACGTTTCGAAAAAATATAGTAGTTCCTCGTTCCAAGTATCAGTAATAAATAACTCAGATATAACAGTATGTTTATCTGTTATCTTCAGATCTCATTTGTTCTTATCATTTTAAAAACTTTGATTGTATATTTCAACTGAAATGTAACTAACCAATATATAATTAAGATCTTATTTTATAGTTAAATTAGTATTAAATTTGTTGAACAGTATAACAACATAAACATTCAGTATTCAAAGTACATTAAACACATAACAAAATTTAATAGTTTTATTAAACTACTAAATAATAGCTTACCTTATGTTCAGATGTCCATGGATTTTCTCTAAGTTGAGTTTCTATTGCTGGTTCTTGAAAAATAATATATCTTTTACCAGGTAATGATAAAATTTTATAAAATATAAATTCATAACTTTCAGTAAAATGAGAATTTTTCAATTTATTCGTTTGTAATAATTTATTCCAACGTATAGAATTTATATTTATAGACCAATAATTTTTATTATATATATTAAAATTATCATTTAAATATTCTATTGAATAATGTAATGTTTCATTAATATTATTCATTCTATTCGATATTAGATTAAGTTTTTTTAATTCTAACCTTGGAAAATATCTATTAGACAAATAGGCTAATGTTAAATAACCATCTAAAACAAACAAACAAATAAACAAAAAAAGAGAGAGATTGAAATATGGCACAATGAAAAAAAAAACGAAGGAAACAAACAAAATTATTTGAAAAATAATTCTAAACATGTCAGTGAATAATAATTTGTAATGGTAATGCAATAAACAAACAAACAAATAAAGTTAACTGAATAACAATAAAACTTTTTATGTGTGTTTTATTGTTAGTCAGTTAACTTTATTTGTTTGTTTGTTTGTTTATTACATTACCATACAAAATACTGTTCACTTACATGTGTCAGATGAACCGAAATCAAATCAAATAATCTAAGTAACTAACCAATATAAGTTTTTTCTTGTTTTCAATAGTTAATAAATATATTACAATTCAATAATACATGCAAATAATTAACTGGAGTAAACAAATCTACTACATTACTGTTGAAGATTATTTCGAATCAACATTTCTCAGTGTAGATTATATATATATATATATATATATATATATATATATATATATATATATATATAGGGAGAGAAAGGGGATGTGTTGAAGTGTTAATCTACCTTATTCATCGTTTCATTTTGAAATATGTCCATTATTTAGTCTTCATTATCATTAATTACTCATAAAATTATATCTTTTATTATTATAAAACAAAATACAGGTTTTTATTATCATTCGTATATGAAATTATTTATACCGTTATTATTATTATTATTGCTGTTACTATTCTTAATGTAATAATTAATTAACTTCAATAGAATATAACGGAAGTTAATCAGTAGAATGATAAACGTCAGTAATATGTATCATGTTTCTTTAAATTTATGTTTATAAATTTATCTGTAAGATTTTTATGATTATTTACTGTTTCATTTATTTTTATTTTTTCTTTTCAAAACAAAAAAATGATAATATACATAGAAATAAAACAATAGAGTATGTATAAAAGTATCACCATGTTTAATATTTTACATAATGATGTTCATTATCCAAATCATTTTGTTTTAAATAAAATAAAATTTCTGATTTATTTTAAGTGAAACAATCAAATTAGTTATTTATTTTAAATTTAATAATTTTAGAAAAAAATGAATAAAATTTTCAAATTTTTTAATTGAATGATTGTAAATGAAAAATAAAATAATAATAATTTACATAAATGAGAACTTTGTGTTATGTAAACAATGTTTGTGTATTTTTATATTAATAGATGGTTTAAAACACTCGCAAGATATATTCTTTATTCCATATTTACAGGAGAATCCGAGGATCATATGCCATAATAATGTGTAATTGAAGATGACAATGGTATAACACATATTATTTTTCATCAAATTAGTTTTTATTTGAACAGTGAATAAAACATGCAAGGTAGCCTAGTGTTTAAGATTTAAAAATAACTAGGCATTAACGTGAGAAGATATCTAATCAACACGTCAAATGCTAACATGATGTGACCAGGATATGAATTGTATAAGTGTTTCCCTATGTGATAAAACGCTTGCTAGGCAGGCTTCACACTACCCGATGAATGACGTTTTTTAGGGGTATTTACCTGATTAGATGTGACATGAGATTTTTCGTTAAAGATATAATATACAAATATATTACTGAAGTTAAAAGAACTCAGAAGCCTTTTTGGTTGATTGCTAGCGTCCTAAACTTGCATTTACATGGCTCTAAACAAATAAATACCAAAGAAATACAAAGTTTGAACAAATGTCCGACAAATTTATCGTCAGACATATCATAATGTAGAGAACAGACATGACCTACCTCCTTCCTCTTATGTTTAAGTGTTGTTGGTTCGTTACTAAGCTGGTGATTAAGCTTTTGGTCTTTATGCGTTTGCAATATACTCAACAGATTTGCCTCATTGATTTAAATGTACGTATTGTAACTTTAATTTGCTAGTTATAATCTGAGCATTTTTTAAACTTTAAGTGTGCCCAGACACACATAAACCAGCACAGAGACTTGGAATATCTTAGGATTAATAAAACATATTACTTTTATGAACTTGATGACTATAACCAATGGCACTGTCCCTCATAACTTAAAAAATACATAGACCACTTCAACATATTACTTAAAACTTTCTATAAAAACAATCAAGAGTCCTGAAAGATATATTATGGGAATATTACAACAATTAAAAGCATGTTTTGGGAATAAACTTAAGAAAATAATTTGGCATGGAAAAAATGACCAGCAACAGTTAGATAATTACTCAAAAAAGGGCGGAATATGTACTGTCGTATCAACTTAATCAGTTAAAGACCATACCAACTAAGATTTTCAGCATCCACTATGCATTACTTTGTGTCTTGGAACTTAAAACTTTTACCCTTTAGTTTGATTAACAGATCAGTGCCTTTATATTATTGTTCCGTTCGCTCACTTAGAAAATTATAAGCTTTTTTGATACTTTACTTTTTAGGCCAGTCTTGCACTAGTAAAATATTTGAGCGAATGGTGAACAAGTTGTTCATCGGCTAACTTTATTAACATTGCCTTGTTAAACTAAGAGCGATGCATAGAGTTCAAAGATAGACATCTGGTAAATGGCACATTAAACTACCATGCTCTTTGGAATAGAATTATCAAACAAAACATGTGGTGATTTGTGAAGAATGTGCTTCTCTAAAATGTGATAGTCCTCTAATATGTATAAACCAAAAGAAATAATTGCCTCAATGGGATGACAACTGAAAACATTGCTTTAAAATAACTAAACAAAGTAAATATGTTTGGTGGACAACCTCTAACTACCCAAAGATTTTGATAAGCCTTCACGTTTCGAAGGACGATGTGTAATTGGTGGTTCGTTAGTAAAATCAGTACTTGCTGGCATCTGAAAGTAAAAATCAGTATCCTTATATTTTGAGTTGATTTTTGTTTCATTTTTGCTTGCGTGTACTAGTCAAAAGAATACACTTGATGGGCTCGATGAAAATATCCCCTATTTAACCGGTTTTCAAAAGAATTAAAGACAGACGGATATTTCATCTAAACCATGTTGATAATCAAATTTAACTACCAAATTTCGGTCATTTGACGAACAACCACAATTTTAAAGCTTCTTTTGATATTCTATTTTCACAAGTTAAAAGTATTCTTACAGACTGTGATAATATCACAAACTCATGAAATGTTTTCTTACCACAGAGAAAGAAGAATTTAGAGACTTGGTTCACTGACCGCAAATTTTGACAGTGTCAAAACATATTCGAACAGTCCAATCTAACTTAAGTTCTGACAACCATTACGCCAACATTTCGGTTATTTAATACACTAAAAATAATTGAGGAGTTTACACATTTTAAAGAAACCGTTCGGGAACAAACAGATGATATGTTCCTTCTAAATGACAAAAGATATGTGTTTGCTTGTCAAGGTACATATTTTCTGTGAGCAAATTTAAGCCCCAGAATCAATCTAAGGCTTTAAAAATCTTAATGCCTATTCCATGAATCATCAAAATCAGCTAAATATGAAAACGTATATTGGTATATGAATTTGTTGTTTCGAACGTTAATTTAACTGTTTCATGGGAACGTATGTCAAAATACAATTTCTCTTGTCTTTGAATATGTCACATAATTTCCGCTGCGTAATAAATCAATTTTACTTTAAGTCTTACTTCGTTGATAAATTTCTAGTCATCGTTTTCATTGTTGGTGTTATTTGTTAAGCCGCTTGCTTTTAACGTGCTGGTTATCGTCATCAATTTTGTTTTAATCTTCACAAATAATGCCCATATTATGGTTGCCTACTAACATTTACCAAACAAATTTCAATCTCTAATAATCTGGAAAAATAAATACAACCCTACCAACGATGATCTTTATTCATCAAAGTATTTTTAACCGTTTTAATTTTCAACAAATCTAGTAACAAAACAATAGGAAGCTTAGATCTAGTGAAAGTAAAAAGCAGATGTTTGTCGCGTTGAATGTCTTTTTATTAAAAACAAAGCGCTTACAGAAATTTGAAACAGTCTGTTGCGTGATTACTAAAAACGTAAACTAATATAGCATATTTATTCCTGTTTAAATCAAACAAAATGGGGTGTTTTGATTTTGATGTGGATTTTTTGAATAAGTATCTTGACTATGCTTGAAATTAAAATATGCTAATTTTTCTAAATGCTAATAGAAAGGAAGATATCCTTGTTTTAGTGACTATTATTCACATAAAATGTTTAAAGTTACTAAGACAAGATAATTAGCTAATTAAAAAGGAGCTGAACAGGTGTGATTCGATAAGATATAAAATTCAGTAGGATTTGTGATGGACTGTAAATCAAATTAGATGTCAACTCACCCGAATACTCATAAATTATACGACTATTTATATATCCAAGAGACACATGTTCTTCAAACAAAGACAACCATACTAGACCTTTCTTCATTATAATACTACAGCGGACGTTCATATCAAATTTTCCACATATTTCAAATAAATCTGGTCCTAATTGAATGACTGAGTGAATAACGGAGTCGCAATAGTCGTTTCTAAAATCAACGTTCGAATGGTGTTGGACCTCTGGCCATGTGATCTTATCATGAATGAAAAACTCATCGGATATAGAAATGATGATTAAACTGGAACTGAAAACAATCAATGATGGTAATTAAAATCCAAACATACTTTGTCCCAAGAAATATAATCGTCTTTTCGTTTGAAATTAAACAAAACTTTCCAACAAACATTTTGCTTCCATGTAAAATATTTTCTTTACGATTTGAAGATTGGTTGGTAATAGAAATGTGGAAAAAGCTTATAATAAGGCCTATAACGCAGTACTCATGAAGCATCCAGAACGCTTTCGACTTCAAGAAGATATCATTTAGTTTGCTTTACTTGATAAGATTGTTGATCCCTTCAAGTGATCAGTATCTAGCGATAAAATATTCTGGTTTTTGAATTGTTAGTGTTTACCAACTTGTAAAGGTCAAGAACCTTGGAGTATTCTAACAAGTACGGAGTTACATACAAATTATTCACAGCAAGGTTATCACCTACACAGTTATTCTGTGTTCATTCGTTTAAATAAATATGGGTTGTAACTGTCATATAGCGATGCTTTTACGTCTGGTGTGGAGAAACATTCGGCTGGTGATATTAGCATACGAACTTGCATATGACAACTTCAGGATGGGAGGGGCATTAGGCGACTAAATATGATCCGTTTACAGCTTACAACTCAACCAATCAAATTAACAACGAAATGTTTTGACAGACTCCGGCAGAGCCTAAAAACGTTGCATAATACTATCACGTAACTACTCTTAGGAATCACGAAGTTCATTCCGAAAATTTTCTCTGTCTTTGACCGAAAAATACAGGTTGAGATGAGTATTGTCAACGGCTTTTAGTG